GCAATGCAAGAGAATTTGTTTTACTGCGAAATGTCACCTTTCCAACGAGCATAAATATGAAATTGTTTGATCGATGCTTTACGAGAAATCTATCAGTGCAGCCATCTACCGAAAAAATAATGGATTTCTTTTTCCCCAAACTAATATATTTACAAAAAGTCCTACTACGATATTGGTTTATTTGGCATAATAGGAAAGAAACTTCCTTTGATCTCTTAAAGTATAAAGATTGAAGAAGGCATTGGCATAAAATAGATAAAACTTAAAAGTATTTAAAAAATTAAAATCTTTAAAAATATCCGCTTTTTTTTTTGTCGCCTCTGGCAGCTCTGGCAAAATGTGCTGTGTGTTTGAAGTAATGATTTCTTCCTTCTTTCTTTCCATCTGCAGCAAAACGCGCAACATACCACGCACAGTTCTATGTTTTTCAATATGAGGAAGACGAAATTCCACTCAAGCTCTCATCATTAGCAATAAAAAGCTCATTGAAATCATCCGTAGTTTATATTAAATGAATGCACATACAATACATGAAATGAACGACCCCTCGCAAAGTATACGTTTGCTTATCATTTCACTCCGAGCTAAATTTTTATGGATTTTCAATATGTACGGACCTCCTGTTGCTTAAAAACTAACAGGTGGCAAGCATTTGAGAGTAAAATGTTGAATAAAAATTTTCACATACACATATGAAAATGAAAACAATATACGCATTGAAGCAAATCCAACAATAAAATGTAACATATTTTGGGGCTGTTGAAAAGGATTTTGCAATAATTAAGAAAATTTCGCACAATTGTTGAGAGTTTAATAACTTAATACCAGCCCTCAATTTTTTTGCGTCCGAATGTCTACTATGACTTGACGTCGATGCTACATAGCATGTAAGCGATGAAGTCAGTGTCGACGTGCATCAGCAGATCAAGCCACTGCAGTACATAAACTAGCTTATTTTTGCCCCATATACGTGATTACGTTTAACTAACATGGCTTTCTTTACATTAAGGTCAATACATGAACATAAACACATGCTTTCTATGTCATACATAGTTCCTCTGACTCGTTAGCATTTCGTTTGTTTTCTCCTATTCCCGTTACGTGTGTTTAAAGCGTGTGGGTGTACGGTTTTATACATTTAATACGCTGCCTTTTTTAATTTGTAACCTTTTCCGGGATACGGTTAACAAGTTTTTATCTTATTTTGGAATTTTTTCCTTTTTCACGTTAGTTCAAGCAAATGTCGCTTTACATGCGATAGGTTTGCGTTCGAGCGTCCAAAATTCACATCACAGGTTTTTTATTAGTGGTTGTCAACCATTTTTAGGAAGAAACGCACACAGGAAAGTCTTCCATTTTATTCAACCAAGACTCCTGCTTATTTAAAGATATGCAGTCCGTCGATATGTGGAAATCCTAGTAGAAATAAAAAAATTAAATTTGATAAATATTTCAGTCTTTTCGTGTTTCCAGTGATAAAAACGAATGTGTATTGTTCACCACTAATGACTAATAAAATTTAGAATATTCTGTAAATGAGTTAAACGCACACAGCCACAAAAAGCTGCAGGCAATCGTTTACATATCTACTTACACCTTACGCCTTAATGCACTCAAACCTGAATAATGAAGTCATACGCCGACTTAATTTTCCACGTCTTCCTTAAGCAATTCGTGGAGAATTTGAACAACAATTTAAAATAATGTTCCTTGTATCTGCGTAACCTTTTCTGCATTTGTGTAACACTTATTATTATCAAGTGTATGGATTTTGAAAGAATAGTCTTTTGACATTTCGCTCTCTATGCACAAGAAAGAAGGTACTCCAAACTACATCTTCTTCAGGTTTCTAGTAGCTGCAAAAACCCAAATACTGGAGAGTAACGGTTGGAATGTTTTATACACAGACGGCTCAAAGTCATATATTTCACGAAAGTGCTTCACCTTTCACAACTAAAGCTAGAGCTATCCTTTACGCTGCGAACCTTTCCCATAAAGACAAACTCAAAACCGTCATTGTTACTGACACTTTGTTTGCATTAAAAGCTAGACGGGATTCTTCGACTTCGAGATGGAGCACCATCAACAAATTAAGGAATATCATTACAACAGCCGGCGAAGAATTAAAATGCTTTGGGTACCAAGTCATATCGGTTTATTGGGAAATGGGCAGGCTGATCGAGTGGCGAAGTATGCTGCTTCTGCCAACCTCCAGTTATGGATGATGTCATGAAAAAGTTGGATCTTCAAAGATACATTAGAAAAAGGGTTAAAGAGAAAAATAGCAGCATCAGCAGCACTACTCTTCTACTAACCCTCAATTAATTACACCTTTATATCCAACAAATGTTGAGAAAATCAAGATCGAAAAATTCTCGAGACCTCGCCTTGGCCAGACAATTGCAACTCACCAATGGATCTTAAAGAAGTCTTCCTCGTCAATCTGCAATTGTGGACAAATTCTCACTATAAAGCACATTCTCTGAGACTGCTTTAACTTTTCTTTGGCTGGAAGTATTGCATTTGGAGCGACTAGCAGCTTAGTAGCAACTTGCTCTATAGAGGTACGCCTTTCTAAACACAATATGCAGGAGCAGTGCGTAAGTAAGATAACATATTCGAAGCCTAACACACGTATGCTCAATGAATATACCGTGTGAGAACAGTGATATGCTTGCCATGACTTATCTGAAGAATAAATTTACGTTACTACTTAAACAGCGCCAAGGGACAAATATATTACTTTCAATTTCCCGCTAATTCTTTTCTATTCCAATTTAAAGTGATTAACAAGTAAAAACTGTGCAGTGGCACTTGATAAACCATTCAATATCCCACATCAGCGAACAGTTATGTGGAGAGTGGTCGAAAAAGTCGACCGATCCCGAATATTTTCAATATAATTCTCGTCCTTGGGTTAATGCGATAAAGGGACAAGATAGACTGAAAGACTGGCTGCAAGACAAAAAGCAGATTTGTTTTAAGCCCTCCTGGCTGTGAAATACGTTCGCACAAATTTAATGTACCTTTATACCACAAGTGCTGTAGCGTATGAAAAATATACTTTTTGAGATCGCTTTTAATATTCTAGACAAACTTCTGCAACCGCAATCCGGCAGATGAAAAATACCTCGTATCTGTTAATGCAATTTGTCGGTACATTTTTCCAAACAACTAAGCTTTATTAGTATTTATAACAGAGAAAGACATGAAACAGCAACAACGAAAAAGCAATTAACATTTTTAACTTTTATCCATATACCTTGATTAAAATTACATATGTAGATGTGTCTTTGAAATTTTCTCCACAGCTATTGATTCTCTTCTCTACGCAAAAGAATCGTCATGAGTTTAATTATAATGTATTTTCGCCAAAGTTTAGTTAACTTTTAAAAGTACTTTTCCTTCATATTTGAGTCGCGAACAAAAAAAACAAAAATATTGTAAAAATAGTTTGACACTTGAAAGATTTTGCGTTCATTAAAAATATTTGAAGAATACATTAGGGGATGCGGGAAGCGCGTGGATGTGTCTTTCGCATCTTATAGGTGATATACATTTTTCAACTTCTCCGCACACTCTGCATACTTTTTCAGAAACCTCTTTACCCGCTGAGTAAGAAAGCTTGCATATGCATGACCTTACATCCGTTTCTTCAATTACTAGTAAAAAAAATAATAAACAAAATATATTTAATTAGGAAACAAGCTATGAGAGCATATTAACAAACACGAAAGACAGAAGATATGCTCCCTGAATTGTTATAATTTTAGTGGGACATTGTATTAAGACGACAACGGCTTTCAATATTTATTTAATCGTATATTCATAAGAAATTCAAGTCAATTACACAAACAACGGGACCCATGGATGGTGCAACTTACCACCTTAAACGTCGATGGTGATACCAGTTTAGGCGTTTCAATCCTCCTTTCAATCCATCGTCTCGATTGCTTCGCTCGAACTTGTACCCTCATATAAGGAAGTTTCAGAATCCGATGTCTCCTTCACTGCAATTATTAGAACGTTTTGATGGAACTCCTTTGAGAACTTTTACCATGACAACTAACACTTGGCGATATTTCCTGCAATGTATTCTTCACAACGTTACTGTCGGGCGTTTATATTGAAGGTTCGGGTCACCCAGGATAACTTTTCGTTTTGCATTCAAAACTTTAAAGATTTATAATAAATATGGGCTTTTTGACCTAAACTTTCCTTAACATTTAGCAAAATATTTGACAAATCCACCAATGTCTCCTTTCGACGCGGCATTCTATAAACATCTGTAGAATGTTTATAAATCAATGGGTGGTATAGGAATTCGAAGTAAAAACGTCTGTAGAATGTTTATAAATCAATGGGTGGTATAGGAAATTACCAAATACTTATTTCTTCTTCTTTTGAATTTTGTTAATTTCGACTTTACTGACCAAACGACGAGAAATAATGAATGTTTTTAACAGAGTTTCTCTGACAAATTGCTGTGTTTGGTGCAGTATATATATAACATAACTAACAATATGACATGTTATACGTAGCAAGATCAAAGCGCGTCGATGCTTTCTTGTTGTTTCACTCATTTTTGCGAATTTAATAGAATCTTTTCATATACTAAGTACGTAGCGTACTGTTTGAATACTACAAATGACCTTTGACCTTCATTATCTGACGATACATAAGATTTCAAACAGATACCGGTCTCAATTTTCGTAAACTTACGATTTCACGTAAGAAAACGTCCGCGATTAAGTTATAAAGTTTTTATATGCTGGGTAGTCCCAGCCAAGATTCGTTCCAAATAGATATTCCGCATTCATTGGAAATTTCCAACACCTAGTGCTCTCTTAAATTTTTTTATTCCACAAAATGAAGTTTAACGGCTTTTATTTGATCAAGCTTCGCCAGAGATGCCGGACTCTGCAGCTAACTACTCACCAATGGCAAAATGCCTGGCAATACCGTCCCCATTGCACAGCTGATATGTTTTTTTTTTTCTTGATATTGTAAAACATTAAAAACGAATAAAAATGCGATATAAGGAAGAAATAAGTATTTTCCAACGTTTTGATAAATTAAACAGCTGTGCAAACTGTACTAATAATTGAAAACCGGAAAAATCAATATATATTTTAATTAAAAATTACTATAAAACCGTGAAACTTGTAAAGATAACGTGGTAGCAATAGCTTTTTTGAACCGAGTTAAAGGTAAATAAAAATGAATGGTGTTGTGTCTGAGGGAGTTGCTGAACAGAGTGATTCGCAACCCAGCCATTCCGTTATGGCAGAGCCTTTGCATATACAACGTTTGGAACAGGTATTAGATATGCGACCGTTTATGGTTTATGCTCGTGAAATAATGGGGCGGCCATTAAGCAGCGACGAAGAAGAAGAACTAGAATCCGTTGCTGAAGATTCCGATGATGAATATGTTGAACCAAAATTTAAGAAAATTAGTAATAAGAAGAAGAAAAAACTGACTAAATTAGGCACAAAGGAAGGTAAGTGTTTTAGTTTATTATGGTGAAGTGGGAAATTAAGAGAAAACCTCACGCACACTATCTTTCAGAGCGTCAGGCGGTTAAAATGCAGCTGTACAATTTCAATGATTTAACTGCCGACCGTGAATGGTTATACGATGTCTTGCTGAGTGATACTGATACCGATACAGAAATCAGTGATGAAGATGAATACGTCAGAGAGATGATAAAGGCTCATGTTCGTCAACAAAAGATGAGAGAGAACTTTTACAAAAAACCTACGGTGAGCGAGTTTTGAAGAAAACTCATTTTCCTTTTACAAATCGTTTGTTTCTTAGAATACTCAATATGCTTATTATGGAGCTGGATTTCTATCTAACCATGACATGTACCCCGAGCATCAGCAGTCTATCGTTGGCGTTCGTAAACGCCGTAGACGTGGGAAAAAAGAGAAACCGATGAAATTACCTCCCTTATCCAAACCTGTTAACAAAGAGCCAAAAGCACGTAAACCTCGCAAACAAAAGCATAAGCCTCTAATGGATGAACCAGAGCCGGGAGAGGTGGACCCCGAAGATCTAAAGCATTATGCTTATGCTGATACAACGGCTAATGATGAAGACGATGATGTAGACGTGCAATCAGATGATTTAGCTGATTCTGCAATGGTTTTGGACTCTCACGGTTTGCAATCGGGTGCTCTGACTTACCAACCCAGTAGAGGTCGTAGACGAAAAAGTCAGCAGGGTGTCTTACGCACACCCGAAGTAATGGCAGCACGTCGTAAACGCGTATGGCAGCTAATGGCTAAAAAAGAATTAGGCCGCTGTCAGCGTGCGAAGCTCAACAATCATAAAGAAATGGTACAAAATTGTAAACGGGTAGCCACTATGTGTATGAAAGTTGTGCGGCAGCGCGCTATGCACTCGCAAAAGGTTATGAAAGAGACAGTTTGGCGTGCTAAGCGCATGTCGCGGGAAATGCTAGCCTACTGGAAACGTTACGAACGTGTAGAGCGAGACACACGCAGGCGCATGGAAAAAGAAGCCGAAGAGCAACGAAAAATGGATGTGGAACTTATTGAAGCTAAGCGTCAACAAAGAAAATTAAATTTTCTTATTACCCAAACAGAGTTATATGCTCATTTCATGTCTCGTAAACTTGGTCAGGGATCAGAAGCCGAACAATTACGAATCCTCAATCAATTAGACGAGGAAGCAAATCCTCGTTTAGCGGCTTATGATGACTACGATGCCGAGAAAATGAAGCTATTAGCTCAGCAACATGCTGAAGAAGCATTTGCTAATGACCGGCACAAAACAAAACAATTTGATACGTCTGCCGTTTTAAAAAATAAAAAGGATGATATCGTAATAAAAGAAGAAGATAAACCAGAGTCATTGTTACCACAAAACAAGATAGACTTGCCGCAACCTTCCATATTTCAAGGGACCTTGAAAACATATCAAATTAAAGGTTAGAAAGTTTTAAACAAAAGAAATACTTTAAGAATACTTTGTAGAATTTCGAATATTTATATTCCATAGGTATGACTTGGTTGGCTAATCTTTATGATCAAGGAATTAGCGGTATTTTGGCTGATGAAATGGGTTTGGGCAAAACAGTGCAGTCTATAGCTTTTCTGTGTCATATAGCAGAATGTTACGGTGTATGGGGTCCTTTCTTAGTCATTTCTCCAGCTTCTACTTTACATAATTGGCAACAGGAAATGCAACGCTTCGTACCCGACTTCAATGTAGTTCCGTATTGGGGTTCCCCGAATGAACGTAAAATTTTGCGACAATTTTGGGAACAAAAAGACCTGCACACTCGAGAGGCGAGCTTTCATGTAGTGATCACTTCTTACCAACTAATAGTATCCGATTATAAGTATTTTAATCGCATCAACTGGCAGTATATGGTGTTGGATGAAGCTCAAGCCATCAAAAGTGCCACTTCAATGCGTTGGAAGTTATTGCTAGGTTTCAACTGCCGTAACCGTTTATTGCTCAGCGGGACTCCCATCCAAAATAGCATGGCTGAGCTATGGGCACTGTTGCATTTCATAATGCCCACACTCTTTGATTCCCACGATGAATTTAATGAATGGTTTTCCAAAGATATAGAATCGCATGCTGAAAACAAAACAGGAATCGATGAGAAACAAATCTCAAGACTACATATGATTTTAAAGCCCTTCATGTTACGACGCATTAAAAAGGATGTGGAGAATGAATTGTCTGATAAAATTGAAATAATGGTTTACTGCCCACTAACCATACGCCAAAAATTGCTCTATATGGCTTTAAAACAAAAGATACGCATCGAAGACTTATTGAATTTAGCCCGTGGTGGTCATCATGGTAGTGGCGCTAGTACAGACGGTCACGTAGATCGTAATTTCACTTCAAATTTAATGAATTTAGTAATGCAATTTCGTAAGGTATGCAATCATCCGGAACTATTTGAAAGACGTGATGTTAAAAGTCCTTTTGCGGTCAAATGCCAGGAATATGTTATACCTCGCTTAGTATACGATGAAATTTTGCTGTACAGAGCCATACCCAGCAAACGGCATTTATTATATAATCGGTAAGCGATGTTTATTAGCTCAAAAAAATCCATTTATATCATATCAAATATTTGCAGGTTTTCGATTTTTAAAGCTGATTATTTGCATCATTCCTTATTTAAAGAGCCTCAGACAAAAACTGCAGCAAAATCTTATCAGTCTCAACACTGTTATAAACGCTATATAGATTTAAATGTTTGCGATGGAGGATGTTTCAGTTTTACTCGTTTATGTGATTTGTCGCCCAATGATATCGAAGATGTTACTATAAATGGTTTAGTAACTTGGTAAGTCGAAAACTTTGGGTATTTCCTACACGTTTGCTCTGCTCAGGTTTAAGCAGCCATAGGCATCAAATTATCTTAAAACTGCCATCTTTTCAAGGGACTTGGAAAACCAATTCTATTTATTAAGAGTAATAAGAGTGTTGTCTTCGACAGCATTTCAGTAAAATGCGTTGTTTTAAAAAACCTTATCGTCCCAAAAGGGTTAAGAATATATAAAGTTATTTTACGTAATGTCTAAAAGGTAAAAAAAAATCCCAAAATATTACTTTATTTTGTAGTGAATTTAAGCAAATAAATATTTTTTAGCCAGCTGTAGTAAATGCTCTTGCCCATCATGTTTATCATTTTTCTATTTAGGTTTTTGTGTGAGGCCCAACAAATCAAAATTTGTTTATCATATAATATTAAAGACGAAACATGTATATTTTCTTTTTTATAGCTTTCAGCACTATATTAAGAAACTGGCCTTCTATGAGCTGTTAGCTAAACGTAGACAATGGTGGTCTGATTACTACAATCCGATGAGGTTCCAATTATTGGAGCCCACCTTAGAAAACGTTCTAAATACGAACTTTTTACCACCGGGCAGTAACTTGAAAAAATTTCTATTTACCGCTGTGGTAAGATAAAATGAATTATTAGCTGAAGAGACTTCGACAATATAATTGCTTTTATTATCTTTATAGACGTGCCAGGAAAGTACTGTGTATGCTTTTGGGGATTTTCGTACACAAAATATTCCAGAAACCATTGAACATCGCGTTATACGCAGCAAATATAAACAAAATGTTGAGGAGGCGGAGATAAAGAACGAAATGTTAGATGAAACTGAATCAGAATTAATAATGCAAACTGGTGGTGCTGGCTCGAAAAATAAATTAACTAAAGAAGCGTTACGTTTGTTGCCAGAATTTCATCATAAAAAGCATGTCCCTCGTTATTATCAATGCGAGCCCTTGGAAATGCCAAAATTCTTATATGCTCTAAATCAAAGAGTGCAAGCTTACAAAAGACAGTTGTAGTAAGTTTTTCTTAATCTTTTTATTTAAAAAGACTTTGATCTTATATAATGCGTGCTTACAGCTGTGAAAGTCGTGCGGCTGCTTGGTCACAAATACGTCACGAACATTGTGAAAATCGTGAAGGTCTTGAATTAGTGGAAAATGGTTTAAAATTATCTGCGCCTGCTTTCGGTTGGTCTTCGATCATTATCCCTGACAAGGAAACGTTAATATCCGATGCCGGCAAATTGTCTGTCTTGGACAGTCTCTTGACCCGTCTAAAGGCTGAAGGTCATCGCGTTTTGATTTATTCCCAAATGACTAAAATGATTGACCTATTGGAGGTTTGTTTTATTAGTTCCCCAATTTTTATACCCACCACTATAAGACGAGGGTATACTCACTTCGTTTTTTTTTTTTTTCATAAGATGTGTAACAACCAAAAGGAAGCTTCAGAGACCATGTAAGGTATATATATTCGCGATCAACGTGAAATTCTGACTTGATATAGCCATGTCCGTCCGTCTTATGGTCTGCGCATCTGCATGTTCGTGTGGTGTTTGCTATTGTACCCTCCTGCTCGCAAAGACGAAGATATCGTCTTAAAATTTGGTAGAAAGACTGGAAGTTTTTGTACGTCGGCTAATATTGAAAATGGGCTAAATTGATCAGAACAGAAGCCCGCAGTGGAGCATAAACTGACCGCAACTCCGTTGTTCCTAACAAAAACTTGTGGGTTTTTGCTCGTTACTCGGACATTATTAAAGTTAGAAGGCTGCAATTTTTCACATTTACTTTACGAAGCACTACACTTTGCGTGCAAAAATCCGTCATGCCCACACAAAGTTATAAGTGAGAAATTTTCCTTTTTTCACTTTTTTGAGGTTTTACGACTTTTTTTATCATCAGGCAAACAAGACAGAATGTTTGCAATTGTTTTGTATATTCCCCAAGTGAAGATATATTACCTATCTAAATATAGGCTGATTCTAAAATGAATACGGTAAACACTGCGATCGGGTGAACAAATTTTTTTCGTAATAATGCCAGCGAGCACTTGGAAAGTAGAATGCGAAAAGAATAGTGGTGGACATGCGAGATTTGGCCATCGCCGAATATAACTTCCCTAATTATTTTCTTATAGTTTACGTGAAAATGTATTTTCAGGAATATATGTGGCATCGAAAACATCGCTACATGCGTCTGGATGGTTCTAGTAAAATATCAGCCCGTCGTGACATGGTTGCTGATTTTCAGTCACGACAAGATATTTTTGTATTCTTATTGTCCACACGTGCTGGTGGCCTGGGTATAAATTTGACTGCTGCTGACACGGTAAGTTTTGTAGGAAAATTGTTAAAATGTAATGTTTCAGTAACTTAAGAGGAGCTCCGGAAATTACTATATTGAGTAAAAAGTTGAAACAAAAAATGTAAAGCGACAACGCGATTGAAAATGTGCAGTTTGTTCCCTTTACTTAAACTTTTTTAGGATTGTCCGTAAGCAGAAATTTCATGTTTTTTTATATCAAGTTCTAAGTCCGCTTGCTTGTGCAATTCTAAAAAAGGCTCTCTTCTATCAGAATTTGGATTGGTAATTTTTTACATCCTTAATGTGAAAGTTTTACAGTAAATATATATCGACAGTGTCTGCAGGATGCTAAACATACTAAGTTGCGTACTAACAAGCCGCATGATGGATATCTCTACACTGTAGCAAAATTTAACAAAAGGATACACAAACTCAGAGTCCCGGAAAACTTTCAAAGAAAACGCCACTATTTAGCCAACATTGGTTCTGCGTAGATTTTAGCTTTAAATTTCCATTATATTTTCAAGATATAAACATAACTAAAATCTGTACGCTGAATGTTGTGCTGTCACAATTACCTAACGAAGTCTTCCCGGAAACATTTCATGTATCAAAAATAGGTTGGCAAAGTTCTTTAACTGAAGTATTGGGGGCATCGATATTTTTAAGAAAATTATTCAAATTGTTTTCAATTAACGACACATACCCACTTCAGTAAATGGATTAACATCGTTAAAGCTCCCTTTAAATATGCTGCCATCTACTGTAACAGTGAATTTATAATTTACGCCCTACTTTGTTGAGAAAACTGTGAAAAGCATAAAAAATCAAATAAAAAGAAGCAAAATGGTTTTTTTATTGTCATTGCTATATGCTAAATTAATGAAAATTTCTTGTGGGTCGTAAATTTATTTGCTTTTCGGAATTGCCACAAAAAAATATTTGCGAAATTTTTGATGACTCCGCCAGCAGGTACCAGCTCAAAAACTAAAGACAGAGCCAACACAAACCTGGTGACAAAATTTAATGTGTTAATGCAGAATGAATTAGGAAAAGTGAAAAAGTCGGATCCCCTATACGGTGAAGAGACCAAAATGACTAAGTCTAAAAGATTGAAGAAACGGCAAACTGATACGGAGCAAGGTTTTTTTGTCGATACTTTAACTGATGATTATCAAGAGACTACTTTTGGAGCATCGAATGAAAAGTATTTAGTTGACCTGCCTGTGCGTAATGACTACGGCCGTAATAGAAGAAAGAAAATTCGTCAAAGTCGAAGCTACTTAATCTTAGAGGATAATCCAAGTAATGGCGCGCCTGGCTCTACGATAAGAAAAGATGGTAACAAGTGTTTGTTTCGCTCGAACTCCAAAAATGCCGACAACGAGGATTCTCTCGTATTGACTTCGCTTTCGCGCAATAACGTCACGAAGATGAAAAACAAGAGTAAACCTAGTTGTTCGATGAAAACCAAGAGCGGGGCCCAACTTCTCAATCCTGATAAGACGATGTTCGAAGTGCCAACCAGAAGCAGTAATTTCAAAAAACTTTCTTTATCGCCAGCAGTGCCAGAGGCTACAGATGAAGTTCGTTTAGCTCACCGACTACGTTTGGCCATCCACGAAGGCGGCTCGAAGAATGTGCGCGAAAACGAACAACTACGGACTGTGGTACTAAGAGCCCTCGACCAGCATATACCTTGGCCCACTATAGAGGCTATGCTCCAAGATTGTGGATCACCGCAACGCATTACAACAAACTGCTTTATCTTGCAAATATGCTTTCAACGCAAGGTTGACTTGATTTGTTCTGTGAGAACCAAAAATATAATGGCATTCAAGAAGAAAATATTAAGCGTATTGAAGAGTAACGGTGCCATCTTTTCATCGGTTATGCATAATTTTAATCATTGCTGCGTGGTAGAAGCGTTAGCATCGTATCGTACCCCCATACAATTCTCGGATTTTGAGAGAACTCTAGCCAAAGATGCTCTGGAGTGTCATGCGACGTCCGTGGAGATTATCGATTATGAGACCGGAGCCGTCAATTTAAAATGTCATCCCATGCAATTGCCTGATGTATCGGTTGCTTTAGAGCAAAGAAATTATAAAATTATATCAACTGATTACGGGTTTCGACCGCGAGAGCGCGTTCAATTAGATGAGAAGGAGCATAGGCGGTATAACCGTCTTCTGAGCAGTTTGCGTAAATATCCTGAAATCGAAGGTATTTACGATAATTTAAATCCTGTAGATTTGCAACCGACTGAGCCTAGTAAAGATGTCTAAGGGCATCCAACATGTCGAACGGAATTATATGCAACGTAATTTGATTATATAATGACAAATAAAATGTTTTGATGTAATTTTACAATGCTCACCGCCTAGATTCAAAATTAAGAGATGTTACATCCTTCTCACTCACTCATTCACTCACCTAACAACGGATTCTTATTATTTAATATTTTTTTTTTTTGTTGTCTGCGCAATATATGGTACATAACATATAAAGTAGTGCGCGGAATGAAGAAACACCTTCTGCATCGCCAGCTTCTCCGTTTGTTTGCCACTGCATTTTTGTATTCAAGCTATAGGTCGCAATTTTTGACACATTTTGTCGAAGTATGGTACACTATGGTGCTTTAAGCCAACAGCTATCGAACGCTATCGAGGATAGTTTGTATCGGAACACTTCAGCGTACTCAATTGATATAAAAAAATGTGGCTTGCAAGGGCATATTCTTTGAGCTCCCTCGCAAGTAGCCGATCCTACAGAAAGTAAGCCTTCTTATCGGAAAAACGATGGCTTTTACTGTTTTATGGCGAAAGTTGATTAAGCGAACCAATGTAAGCTTTTGGGGCTTGATTATAATGTTTTTGCATATTTCGTTGTTTTCATTGTATGTATTACTTTCCAACGGATGACGGATCTTGCTTTTGATAATTACGAGATATACAATTTATTTGAATCGAAAAACATCGGTACTCTTTTATTATTGTCGATCTATATATTGAGCAAAATAATTTTTTAAATTAACTTTTTGAGCGCAAATGGAGGCGTATGTGCTCGCGTCTCAGAGAAAGCGACAGCAGCACCTAGGAGCACCTTAGTTTTCAAAGTTGCTAAAGGAAAGTTTGCTCTAATAGCTGAAATAAAACACTTTTGCTGAGCAATCGTGCTGAGAATCAAAGCAGGTATAAAAAATTCCTGCCGCTATCGTGCGCTTACTGTAAATGAATAATCGCGAAATAGATGTTGATTGCGAATTACTCAATTCTTTGCCTGCAATTGTAATAATGGTTTCTTCCAATGAATATTTAATATCAGTTTTAAATATATCTGCAGCTCTAACGATACATCATATTTTCTTTTATCCCTCGACCAGGCAGAAGATCTCGTCGAACAACTCAATGATAATCTTAAGATGCTAGCGGGTTAAGCTTTTCATCTTAGACTGAATCATTATAATAATAAATAACATCATATTACTGTTCATGTGACATCGTGTAAGTTTTTGAAAGTCCTGGAGCCCCTTTGTTGAATTAAACAATTTTTTTTGCAAATAAACCCTAATTTTGTCACCTAAACGAAATCCTCTCTAGGCGAAATAATAAAGATCGGAAAGTTCATCTTAGTTTATTGGAAATCCTAACCACATTCTTGAAAAATGGCACCTCCATGTCGATATTCCGTTTATTGCAGCAGACAGAATGTCAAAAAAAAAAAAAGAAGAAAATTTTATTGAAAATCGTTCATAATTTTTATATTTGTTCATTGGGATAGTAAAAAAACAAAAAAATTCTAAAATTCAAACCGTGCAGTTTTCTATAAAAACTAAAAAAATTTTAAAGTAAAATCAAGTTGAAGAAAAATAACCACCACCGTCATGTATAATGCTAACGCTGTAAGAAATGAGATCGAGAACAGTAACATTCGCAAAAACTTACAGAAAATTCAAAAACTTGTCCAGGACATTGAACGTTTTCGCCACAAAGCGTTGCCGCCTCACCCAACTAACGTCAAGGGTGCGGAAAGTCATTATAAATTAAGGCGTAGGAGATCAAAACTGCTGGATTTATCAAAGATTGATTTGCCAGTGTTAAGTGAGGACTTGCGCAAGAATATTATGCGATACTATCAATATTCAAAAGTTCTTATGCGAAATCAAAAATTAAGAAATCATCTCCAATCGCTCTACAAACAGAAGCGAAAACTTCCTGTGAAAACACGGATCAGTCTCAATTACGCTCAACTTGTAAAACCAGCGGCACTGTGTAATTTGCATTTGCGTTCCACCGAAGCGAGAACCACAGGAGGTGCCAACAAGGCAAACGAAAAAAAGGCAAGGGCTAATAGTCAAGGGAAACGTTCAAAGTCAAATTCGGCGAAAAAGTTATTAAACGCTAAACGTGAAAATAACGTTAAACGTATTAACAGTAATAACAACCAGGAAATAGCAGGCGACAGATACAATTTGAGGGCATTTAAAAAGAAAATATCAAGAAAGCAAGTGGACTCAGATATTACGCTGAAAGCTGCTCGAAGCTCTCTGGATGTAGTTAACATACATCACAATCGATCGTTGCACGTAAAACGGGCAATTAAGCCGAGTAAGGACGCGATTGTAAACAAAAAACCGAATATGAAACGTAGACGCAGGCAACGTAGTAAGCAAGTTGAAACGCAAAAGCCTTGCGAGGTCGCTGAAATTCCGGCACCTAAGAAACCAAAAACAGTTGAATTCGAGAAGGATTATAGCAAAATAATGGATAAATACCGGGTGAAACGGCGAGACACATGTCCAAAATCTAGAGTATGTGATGTCTTAAGCTCGGAGCATCGGCCTTTTCAAAGTACACCCTCGGAAGTTCTAAAACGTATATTAACGGTACGTGTACCGCGTACGGAATTGGAATGTGATGAAAATGAGACAGTTAGACATCCATTTCATTCATACGAACGTTTGGAAAAGGAGGCACGCTATGCCGAAAAGGTTCGTTTGGCAGTGGTCGGTGGTGGATCTCGTGATCCGAATTATAATGAACGTCTTAGCAAAGTTGTGAAAACAGCATTAAGCGAGAACGTCTCGTCTTATTTTCTTGATACAATTATCAATAGTTGCAAAGAACCCAGAACCGGTGAGAAAAGTTTAAAGATATTACAAATTGAACTTGGAGGGGGGATTTACATTTTATGCACTGTTTACACGTGTAATTTCAGCTTATTGAAGAAGGTGTTATACAGTGTTTTAAAGCGTTACAATGCTCGTTTCTCGCCAGTCCTCCAGCATTTCACAAGTTGTCCCGTTATCGAAGCGATTGCACCACCCTACACGTGCATAAATTGTCAGCCAAATACGCCGGCCTTGCAAAAGGATGCCCGCGAGCTGGATGTCGTCTCCATAGACATTCTCGATTTTGATACAAGAGAAGTGTCCATTAAGTGTGAACAAGCGAAGATGTTTGCAGCTGTGAAAGCTTTACCCAAAAAAGGTTACGCCATTGAAAATATTGATTTTGGCTTCAAGGCGAAGGAATTTATTGTACCTATGGGCAACGATTTCAACATGTATTGGCGGTTCCTAGCAGTTCTAGAAGAACTGGATGACATTGATTCCGTTACCGATAATGTGCATTAGACAACGCGAAAAGATGTCAAAGCAGCACATAAGACTTGATTATCTATTTTATGTAAATTTATTTCGAATATCTCAGCAAAATTGATTTGGTCATAAATACGTTACTTCTTCTTACTCTCGACAAGATTGTTTATCATTTTAAATCGGCGTTTGTTAATGTTTAACCTTCCATTTTTATTTATTTATTGTTTGCTCTTCCTCTCCCTTAATCATACCGTGCATGCATATTTGGATAGATTCCCACCTTCAATGTATCTTATCTTTAATAGTCAATCTGTTCGTGTTTGTTAATGTTTTCAGCAAACAAAACGTGTTAAAACTTGTTGATCGCAAAGGTTTCTTTCATCGTTGGCGCTCTTTGCAGCTTAACCTTAACTTAAAGGATTCATTTCACATAAGATTTTCTGGTTTATGGCAGTGGTGTGAACAAATTTCCAAACATTTTAAATCATTCTTTGACAGGCTGTTGCTGTTTTATAATGAAGGGAGGATAAAAAGTGATTGTCTGCGAAGACTAGAAATGACTTAAATTTTTGTTAAACTTATAAATGTTTGTTTCTTTTTTCTTTTTTTTTTTTTTGCATTTAAAAAATCTGCTATAAATATGTATGCCTTCATATATATGTATATCATAAATATTTAGAGAGACAAGGAAGAGTACTTCCTGATTATGTTGAAGAATTAAGGTTAAGCTTATGTACACCCTTCTTTAATCCATTTGCGCATCGCTCTACACACACACACACACACAATGTGCTTCAAAACTGCGGATTATTCCACGCTTGATGACGGTCCAGCATTCACTGATTTCAAATTGCAGATTGGTGGCATTTTTACCGTATTGTTAATCGCTGGGAATCTAAATGGAATGCCCAATACCGAAGTAGCACATTTTTCGGAGTTTAGAACTAGCGCTGGCATGCATGTGTTCCTTTCATTGTTCCATGTGACTTATCGCTCAGAGGACGGCACCTAGACATGTAACATGGTGATGGTGATCGGAGCAAAGTATGGGAAGAAACTGCAGCCTGGAAGGTGTGAGCCCGATCTATAATCGTTATGCCTTTCCCGATCCACCAGTTCCCGAAACCAGTCATAATAAAAATATGGTTCTACCGCACTAGGGATTAAAACTCGGTCATGCCGATTCGATAGTCACGTTTCTTCACTACTTGGCTGAGTGAGTGGACCAAGACTCTCGCTTTTTTAATAGTTTCAATTAGTTCTACATAAAATTATAGATGGTTTTAAATCTGCTCCTAGTTCTTTCCAGTTGTTTGGGCTGGGCTTTGTGTAATTAATTTGCAGCAGAAGAAAATAAGTAGGAACACTATAGTCGGGCAAGGCCATCTATTGGATGCCTTACATCCCTTAACCTAGTTAAGTTGTTCACTCGTTTTGACGACAATGCACCCAAAAATTACACATTATTACAGACATGCGAATTTTTTGCAAACAAAATTTCAATTGCTTTCCCTCTTGGGTCAAAGAGCGCAAATTTTATCAAAACATCGCAAAAATTGCGACCTGTAAGCTGAACAAAGAATTACATGGGTAGACGTCGATCGGTGTAATAAAAGTTGCGTCTATCTCAAGCCCTACAAACGTCCGCAAAAGTTAATATATCCTGTGTCACAAGTGGTGTGGGAGTAAAGAGCCAAGAGAGCGGGGCTTAAGAGCCAAAGTGAAATTTTTCTCCGTGTAAATGTTGTTTAAATGTCATACACAATCCTTTCACTTTTTATATAAAAGAACAACATACTTTTAGACATGCACCCTTGACGATGTGAAACTAGGTATTAGCTCCTTTGTAATTACAAAGGAGGAGGGCAATAGTCCCAATTGATATGGTAAATGTTACAAAACATTTTTTATGCTTTAAAGTGAAGGAGATTCTAACTAATGTTCATTTGTTTAGTTTCAAATGTGAAAACTGTACAAAAAAAGTTAATCTGCTTAATTTAGAATGCGTCATGCATACGTAATTGGTTTTCGTTTCGATGAAATGTACATGGGCATGCAGACAATTGATATGTTTAATAAAATGTCATAAATCTTTAATGTCCAGCGCAAAACAGAGCAACAAGTCTGCTTGTGCATGTTTTGTAAATCAGCATTAATTCGATCAAGTCGACTATCATGGCGTGCATAACAATTTCGAAAATCTCTCTCTGCCAGTTTATGAAACATACAAAAGTTGACTCTTAAATATTTTTCCGTGTACGTGTATATATATATATATATATATATATATAAAACCGATTTTAAAATTGCCTTCTTTTATATATATATATTATAACCACAAACAAAAAGAAAAAATACCCCGAAGATAATTTCATTTAATTTGAAATGTATTTAGATCACTTATGCTAATCGCAAGTGACCAGCATTAAAATTGAAACAAATTCAAACGAAACCACATTAAAAGAAGCCGTTTTTCTTTTCTTTTTTTGCTTGATCTCTTTTCGAAGCATTTCTAAAGATTTGGTTTTTTTTTTTTTTTTTTTTTTTTTGTTGCAAATTCCATTTATATGCTTTAAAGCGAGCATTTTTGCGTATACGTGCACTTGCACATAGGGATGTGAGTATGTTCGATTTCGATGTTTCGCAGAAGTGACAAATTTCGCTTCAAACAACATCGACATGACTTTCAAATAACTTTTCTAAATATTTCTTTGAAATTTTCGAAATATTTCTTATGCGTGAGATAATGAAAAGAGAAGGATTTTGCCTTTTCTCATCTTGTCACCAAAATTGTTCTCACATCTTGTGTTCGTTCATACGTCGAACGAGCGAGGAATTTTGCAAACTTTAGAAAATTATTAAAATCATTAAAAACACACATATTTTTTTACAAACTTTCTAGAAATGAGAAAAAAAAAACTCTAAAAAAAGAGGTACGAGAGACATGACGGAGATAAAAACAATTTACTGTTGTTCCAAAGTATGAGCTTCCCTGAGTCGGGCGCCGTGATGGGTGCCACCTTCGGGTAATCTGCCAACGTTATTCGAGTCGACTTTGGTTGTTGCTAAGTCTTTTGTCCGAACGTATCTGTTATGTTAAGGATAGTTCTGTCAACAGACGGTTCTAGTCAATGGATAGACGGATGATCGAAGCTTTCTTACTAGGCGAGAGCTGATCGTATGCCCTGAACTATTCTACACCCTTTTGTGTGCGCGTCTGTCTCTTCTCATTTCAATTAAAATTTCAGAATAAGTAAACAAAAATTAATTTCATTTTTGTATATCACGGTACAGGGTTCGTGTCAATATTTATGATAAATGTCAAGTCATTCTACTTGATGTCAGCTTAGAAACGATTCGACAAAGTGATTTTAAACCTTGTAAAGCGTATGAAAGCTGTTACTGCCTTTACAACTACAGTCATCAGGTCTAACTTTAAACTTTTTCCTCTTATAATAATAAAACATAACATAAGCTGAACCTGTGAAACAAAACGCGGCACAAATCCAAAGGTCCTCTTCCGCACTTAATCCTCTCTTTTGGTTGAAATCAAGTGCAACTGTATCATATTGATGCTCGTCTGGAGCAATTTTCGTTTTTTCGCAGAAAAACTTTACAACGCTTCTTGGATAAGCTTTGCCTCCTTAAGTGTTTTCAAAATCCAAGCATTCTTTTTATAGTCACCACCGAAGGGTGATGAAGGAGTATATTAATTTTGCTGTTTGCAATGGCCAGCAGGACACGACGAACCATGTATATTCAAATTCTGTCTGTCCGACTGCCTAACTATGTAATGAATGTTGTAAGCATGCTTTGAAGGCTATCGACTTCAAATTTGGGAGAAACATTGAAAATTCTTGCATACAGGTTAATATTGAAAATGGGCCAAACTATGAGCTACAGCGGATAAATCGACAAAACTTTGAAAGCATATTCTACTGGCGATGCTCTACTGTATGGACACAAAATTTGTAAAATATACCGTCCCCGCACAATATCACAGTGTAACGAAATTAAATTTTGTTTCAACAGCTTTATAATGACCACAAGGAAGTTTCAAAAACCTCCCAGTTTCAAATTCGAAAAACATGTGGATATGTTAGTCCATCCATCTGTCCGTTCGCGCAATTGTGTAGTGTTTTGTGGTAAGCATTTTCCTGTTCGGAGAAATGAAGATGTCGCCTACAAACATGCAAAAGAATTTGAAAGGCCTAAAACTTTTCAAAGGACACATTTATGTAACGAATAGTGTGAACATCTCCTTACAACACATGCACAATGTAAATTTCTACTCTTACTTTGAAACAAAAAGTCGTCAGTCGTGCCCATCCAAGATGGCGAGGGGTATAAAAGATTCGGTCACGACCGAATATAATTATCTTACTTGCTTTCCTTTGAACAAGATTGCGCGATGGCCCGAAAAAAAGATTCGCACAAGATATTGCTGTTTATTGCCATTTATTATTTCTTCTGATAAGATATTTGCAATAGCCGAGATTTATTTATTGGTGTTCTTCAGGGCAATCATTGTGTATTTCATTGTAAATAGCATAACTGTATTTCATTTTTCATTTAACGGTCAAGCTGTCTCAAGCCCTCAAAATATATACATTTTTCGAAAATAAAACGCTATACAAACTGAAATACTTTAGATAGATACAATGTTGAGGCCTAGTTACCTAAAAAGAATATAAACAACTTCGCAACCAAGTCTTTAATAGAAATGAGAAACGAGCGCTTCGCGAAATTTCCTCTCTTCCCGAAGAAATTCGACTACGCTTTTTGTCGGTTTTAGAACTTGTACGCCTGGACATATGGGACTGCTTTGCATAAACCGAATTGTGACTAATAACACAAAGCCTTTAATTTTAAACCGTTTTATTTATATTTTTGGAAAATATTTTTCATTGCTTGCATACATACAAAAATCATTATTCAGCTAACCATTTTCTCACCAATTGTGAGATTTTCTCTTTTGAAGCCCGCATTTCTGGTGTATCACGTTCCATGATCGAATTCAAATCTTTACAATGCGCGTGCACTGGGAGTGAAAAAAGAGAAAAACAAGATGACAATTACAATGAAAGCGAACAATGTGCCGGAGCTCACTTGGTATGATTGTTGTCTGCTCCCCTTCTTGCAAACCCATGGCGCGCCATGGATCCAACTCGCCATGTGTCATATAAACGTTATCCACTTTCAATTCCAAACCTTCGAAAAAGTCATTCGTTTTTGCAACTTGTTGATTAATGAACTTCTCGGTGAAATTTGAACTGTAAGCATCAGCGCAAAGCGTGGTGTAGAACGGTAACGGAAATTTGGAGCCGAAAGGTTGTTCCTTGGACGAAGATGTTTGATACCAACCAAACTCATTGCAGGTTTGATAAATCCATTGGCGCACTGGCGAAGAATGTTTGAAAGAAATCTTTTATTTTATAATCTCCTACTTACTGGCACCATTGTAAGCCGTTTCCTTAAGACCGCTTAAGAAGGCATTGTAGGTTAAGTCATTGCAATTGCCAGAGTCGTCCCAGTTTTTCAATAAATAAGTTGTCAATCCAGTGACATCGTCAGCGCCATCCATAATTGTTTTGCAAGCTCGTTGTATATCCCCATCGCTGCAATCGATTTAATGAGAACTGTAGGGAAAAATCTTTTTTTAAGATTCGTAACAAGGCCTACTCATGTGTTTGCACAACGCCAGCGAACGTATCCGATATTTCTCCGAACAGGGACCATACATCCAAGTCATTTGTTTCATCGAAATGATCACATAGGTGTAACATGGCTTTCACTTCAGCTGCGCGTTTTTCTTCGAACATAGTCTCCAAGGCTTCTATACCGTTGCGTATGCGTGTATTACATTCTTCGCCATACGCCAAACGTATAGAATCTCCCATAACTTCTTTGTATTCTGTTTAGGATTAACAATTAACATTAGTTTTTGAAGGGCTTAAAGGATTTCTCTATAAAAATAAATGTACCCCAGAAGTCGACTTTTGCATATAAGGGTGCACTTGAGGCCCAACTACCAGCTGCCAAATCAGGATATAATTTTTTAAACCATGTCACCATAGTTGCTGAATAAGAGCCACCCGTTAGTATGACTTTGGAATTTTCCATGCCTGGTATCTCCTGCCGCATGGTACGTATAAAGTGGGCCAAATCAGCTAAGGCTTGTTTGACATTCAAGTATCGTAGGTTTTCGGTGGAAAGATCTCTAGAGCGAGAAATACCCATAAATGAATAAAAAATATAAAATAAAAGGAAATTCAAAAGAGAAATGCTTTTAAGAGTAAAGTAAAGGAGACTAAGGAAGCCATTGAAGAGAGAAAGTTCTTCTACTTACGGCAATGGATGGCTTTCACCGTAGTAACGATGTTCGGTATAAAACAAATAGCCATGATGTTCTTTGGCCATGTCATAAACATGCCCACCACTTATATAACCCGGCGAAATTGACCATTCTCCTCCAACGTAAATAAACATTGGTCCACCTTCCTCAAAAAATTCATCGTTTGCCATATAACGCTAAAAACGAATACGAAGGCATTAATATTGAAAGAGAAGAACTTTGAAATTTATTCCATCAAATATTTCCTTTTAAGCATTTTTCTTTATATGTATTAAGTTAACTGCAATCAGAGAGAAAACGGCTCACCATATTCCATGTACGCGTTTCATTTTCATCAAAGTGATCTAATCTTTGTTTAATAGACAAAGTTTGAACATTGGCCCGTGTTTGAGCGGGTGGCGCGGGATCTTTATGCAAACTTTTAAACGATTTTCGGAATATGTTATCCGCCTTAGGCACCGTTTTGCCCAAGGTTACAATCGCTCCAACTAAAAGTATTACCGATAATTTAAACATTTTTCGTCAAACACCAGTCAAAGACTATATCGCATTCAATCAGAGAAATGAGTTTTATTAAGAATTTAGCTAATATAGTTGGGGCACTATTTGTGGTAGAGAGGCTATATATCTAACGATAATGTTTAATAATGCTCACTAATGCTGTACATTAGCTCTATAATGGGAAAATCTTATCGCATTTATTGTGTTGTTCTAAATAATCACTTTAAACTGGTGTATTAATTTCACTACAGGTAGCAGTGGTTGCTTATCAGTACAGTGTTCGTTCATATAAAGAATAAATTAGAACACGCTTCCATTCATTAAGCTGAAATAAATTACTTATCATATGAGCACATCGATTACATTTAGTGTAAGTCGATTCTTGTCTTACCCTTCACGCTCCCTAAGCAGTGGCTCAGATCTAATTAAATGGGAAAGTCGCTTACTTCGATTTCGTATTCGAAAATTATAGAACTGTTGTCGGTAATAAATACAATAAGTTTTGACTTTCTTTAAAAACCTAACCTTAGCAGGTTTCTTCGTAACGAATCGTATCACGCTGTGACTCTCAGTCATTTGTGAGAAGCCTGGGCTTTATTAAAAGGTTATTGCTTTTGTTTACAGTTTAAATTCGCTTATACACGCACTGGTTCAAAGTTCACTGGTCACAATTAACCTAAGATCATCGTTTGGGAAAGTCAGGGTTAAACTATCATAAACATAATCCAATTTCCCAAATAAGAACTTTACGATATCCTCCTACAAATGCTAGAAAGGAAAATGTACTGAAACTATGTAAGCCTTGTGAGAGGTTGGATGTTATCCGGCAATAGGCAGATAGTAAATAGTTTTGCAATTTTTGCGAATCCTGGTCTGTAGTAAACCGCAATAGGCTACGGAGGAAAATGCTTTAAATCGTTTTCTATAGCAATCTAATACAAGCCTTAGTAGTCGTAAGGGTTCTTTTTAAAAGTAAGTGAGTCGTGCGCCCCTGCGCGCAAACTTGAGCTGATTTGATGATTTTTTTATTCTTTTGCTTGGTATTCTGTGAACAAACACGCGGACAAGTGGAAATCTATTCGCTTATCAAGACGGCGTTGCCAACCGGCTTACGAACTTAATACATTTCAATACGCTTCATACTCTAACCGGATATGTGCTACAATTTACTGTAAAATTCCTTTTTTTGTTTTTGCTTTTGTTTTTCTTTGTGCATTATCCATTTAATACCTTAATACCCCACTTCTCTTCCCATTAGCCCTTTTTCAAGAGCGCATTGGCACTGATATCATTTTATATTACGCATCACGTGCACTCTTTTTCTATTACTTGAGAGGAAAAGGGGTTGATTTAGTTTTTCTTTAGTTTTCAAAGGCATTTTGGAAATTAGTGCACTTTTTAATGGAATCGCATTAAATCGTGTTAGTTTTTCCTTTTGTTGGAACACGTGTCTGTACTCATTAATTAATTCGTTTTCCTACCTCTTGACGATATTGCGTTTCCTTGACAAGTGTCTAATTGCTAATTTCCGGTATTATTTTAGTTTTAAAATGAAATGAAGACAAAAGATATCTAAAGGTCCTAAGCTTCCTTCTGTCAACTTCTAGAAATTCTCCTCAATTTATCCAATTCTGTTAATTTGTTAGGTACTTGCTGGAGGTAATGTCAGACATTTTGAGATTACCTGCAGTTCTTCTTTTCAAATTTAGATGTCATCTGCTGAAGGAACTGATCTGCAAACTAATGAAGACAAAAGCTATCTAAAGGTCCTAAGCTTTCTTCTGCCAACTTCTAGAAATTTTCTTCAATTGAATCGAATTCTGTTAACTTGGCATTTGTTGAAGGTAATGTCAGACATTTTGAGGTTTCCTGCAGTTCTTCTTTTCAAATTTAGATGTCATCTGCTGAAGGAATTGATCTGCAAACTAATCTACAAACAATTATTATTATTGTTATTATGATTTATAGCTTAGTTTTATAAGCGGCTCTCTTTCTTTTATCTACAGGTCATTTTCTATGATTCCGATTGGAATCCTACAGTCGATCAACAGGCTATGGATCGAGCTCATCGGTTGGGACAAACCAAACAGGTGACAGTGTATCGTTTGATCTGCAAAGGTACAATTGAAGAACGCATATTACAAAGGGCTCGAGAAAAGAGTGAAGTAAGTAAATATTAAGAATAACAAGAACTTTAATCCATAGATTGAAATAATTGTGGTTTACTGTGACATGTTTGTGCTTCAATTGTTTGTTCACTGCTAGAGGAAACCGCAGAGAAATGTAGTAACACAAATTACATATATATTACAATATATATATATATATATGTGTACAAGTCCACAAGGCAGTGACATACTTGTACGTTAATTGTGTATGGTTGATGCTTGATGCCCGCATCTTAGGCACGTGCTTTAATGCAAAACCCAAGCGAAGCAAAAAATTATGAAAAAACGAAAAAAGAGCAACGAAACAAAGACAAACTTACATCAAGACCAGTGGTTAACTTTTGTACCATTTTTAAAAAGAAATAATTGTTAAACACTTGTCCAAGTCGCTTTCGTATTCTATTGAAGGAAAATCGTCTGGCTCCTGATCTCCTCTCCTCTTTTTACCTATAGAATTTTATATTTCTTTTGTAAGGAAAACACAATCGCGCCTCTGTAACGCACTATGGGTTTGTTTTTGTCTTTCCGTTTATACGTTTTTTAATTCTCGTCTCTTCTGACGAATGTTAGTGTTGTGTTTTACACCGGAAATTAATTATTTAATCATGAACCTAGTGGTGGTGGTAGAGTTTGTCTTTAGTTTAGTTTAGGCGACATATCTGTTACGCCTTTGATTGCTTGGAGGTTGAAGCACAAACATTCTGTCTGTCTGTTATGTTTCATTATATAAATAAAGCATTTCAAGCTCGCACACGTGATCGCTGTACGTTTGTTAGGAGCTCGTCTCCGTGAACAAATAAGGGTTACATAACATAATTTACATATTAATATTTATGATCATTCGTTATATACTTTGATTATTGTTCTTGATATTAATAATGTTAACGAATAGTCTGTCAAAAGGATTTCCTTTCCTTCCTTCCGAAATATGATCGTTTTTTTTATTTTTTGTTTTTTTTTGTTTTTTATTTTATTGATTATAATATAAACGACGTCGCCGTTATGCTCATAAGAAACTAAATAATTTTTTCCCTTTTTCTTTTTAGATCCAACGTATGGTTATAAGCGGCGGTAACTTTAAGCCAGACACTTTAAAACCTAAAGAAGTGGTTTCGTTGCTGCTGGATGATGAAGAAATTGAAACGAAATGTAAGTAACTTTGTTATAAGCAAATAATTCACAATAAATAACGAAAAGTATATGAAGCAATAACTTTATCAAAATTTGTCGGCTCGCCCTGTTTACCGGTAAAATCCAATTCAAATTTATTTAAAGAAATCACTTATAGCGGTCTCGTAGGCCATAGCTCACCCTCAAATACCCTACATAATCCTACAGATATTATGAATTCTTAAAACTCGACCGTTTATGCGAAGTGATTGAAAAACTGGTCCCAACCGAACTGTTTTCAAGAGCGTTCGTCCTTGGACCGAAATATCTTACTCTTCCAAATTTTATCGAATATATCTCAAAGGCAAAAAGACGGACAAACGATCTTAAATGTATTCCGAAAGTCATCCTAATTCGACCGGTATAGTAAAAGCTGGCTCTTCCTAAAGTTCTTTTGAGTTTTGCCTACATCCGCTCAAACTTAATATATCCTTGTGTCATAAGTTCCGTACGACATAATAAGAATAATAAAAAATCCTTCGCATTCCGAAAAATGAAATTATTAGGATGCAAGAAATCTTCTTCTGGCAAGATAGAAAGGGAGAGAGACGAGAGGAACTCCACGCAGGATATATTTTATATAATCCCTCCATGGTCAAATTATGGGATGGGGACAGGGGATGTCCCTTTTTCGCTTACACTTATACCCAAGTGAGGTACGAGAAAGTAGGAAAGAGATAAAGAGTTGGTGGCCGCAGTCTAGTGGACACATGCCTGATCTATACGTATCGTACCTTGACTGATAGGGCGCTGACTGTGGTTACGAACGAACCGCATTGAAAATTGAACCCGAGTACGCTGACGTGGTAGTCGCGATTCTGGCCTCTTACTGCTATTAATATCGTTATTATTACTAGTACTGCTACTACAACTACACTATAATGAATAATGAAATGCGTACGTTGTTAACTGCACTTACTTACAGTAAACGAAACCTGTCACAAACTTGTCATACAGATCCTTGGCCAGCAGCTGAATGTGAATTGCAAACTGTGGTCATTGGTTTGTCTTCTTGTGCGTCTATAAAAAAGACAAGCAAGCAAGCATGCATTGTAGAATCGTAAGCTTCCGATAAATGGCTTGTTTTTGTCGCAGCATTGTTGCATTTTTGCGGAATTTGTATTCCGAATGTGACTTTGCAAGACTAGTAATATCCGTCCGTATTATATATTGGATTGCAGAGATTGTACAGATATCGTTGTTGCTTGTACTAAGTTTATCTAAAGACTTTTTATTTTATGCTTTGCAGATCGTCAAAAATTCGAAGTCAATTGTCCGACAGACAATCTGAATAACACTTCAAGTAAGGAGCAACTCTCAGCGAACGATAGAAAGAAACGATTGCCGAATAAAGTAAGTAACTCTAACAATAAAACCAAATTCCCCAAAAAGTCCAACAAATAACGAATACAGAAATCCTCAATTAAGTTGCAAAAAAAAAAAAAAAAAAAACTGAACTTAATCTTCAAGCAACTACTTCCGTATTTCTAAAAAAAAAAAAAAAAGGAGAAAAGCTTGAAGATGTGTGTTTGTTTTTGTGATTGTGTTTAATGGTAATGGCATTAATACCGCTTAAGTAGTTGTACGGTAATAGCTACAGATAGATAACATCTCGAAACGATAATAACATTAATAGCTACATAATAGAGTCTTTACGTTTTATTGCTGTTGTTGTAATTTCTTGTATTTACCCGGGCTTACACTTGTTACAGATGTGGCGGTTAGAGGGAAAGAGAAGGGGGTCTGCAGACACTGTAAGTGAGCTACAAATAACAGAAGCAAAAAAAAGGAACAAAAAAAAAAAAAAACGACAACATGTGTGTGGTTCTGATGGTTGTCTGCTTTTTCCAGACTATGCAAATAATACCCATAAAATGAAAGCATATAATCTGTGTTAGAAGTGATAGGCAGAGCACTATGATGTGTGGACCAAAAAAAGTTGGAAAAACCAAAACCATACCCGCCTTGTGGCGAATTCTATGCACACTACTACTATGACTACTACTACCACTTCTACTACTATTTCAAATATTATATAAAAAAATTATAATATTTACTTGCGGGCATGGCGAAAAATTGATAAAGAGAATAACAGTTCAACGACATTTTTAAGTTTTCTGAAATCATTTTAGTTTTTGGCTTGTGAGCGAGCGTACCTATGGACATCTTAAAAGTGCCTCTAGAACACAATGCCAATAAACTATGTAAGTTTATTAAAGAGTAGTCTAGCTCCGATAGCTTCAGTTATTAGTGTTCATTCTACTTTTTAATCCTAGAATTTCTTTCTTTCGTCCAAGTAGGAGTGGCCGTGTGACTACGAATCGTAACTACTCAGCCTAAGTCGTAGCTATAGTGAGCAATCGATAGAGCGGGCACTAGGCTGCGGCCACCAACCTCCTATTACTTTCTTCTTTACTTTCTCGTAACTCAACTCTGTCTGTCCCTCATCGCGTTACGGGAATAAGGGACATCCTCTGAGTGATTGGTGTATCAAAAAGTACACTATAATAATGAAACCTCAAAAGGAAGCTTGAAAATATAGGCGAGTCCTTCATGTTTTAAAGTTTGATTTCTAGAATCGATGTTTCTGGCAAGCAAAGTGAATAGTGAGGAACAAATGTCAGTCCTCTGTGATGATCCAAGAAACATTTTTTGTGTGACGTTTATTGCTGCAATTTGCAAAACAACTGACAAACTTAGTGCACTTTTATCCGGATTCAAAATGGTTTTTAATCAAGATACAGTTGGTGGCATAATGTGATAATTGCAGGATAAATTAGGTTCGCTAAGCTTCTGTTAGAAAAAATATGAAGCCTCCAAGCGTAGATTTTGTTATCTTTTAATAATTCTTGATTGTAATAATAGCCTTTTATATGTTGGTCTGTGGAAGATATGGGAACTAGACAACTGTCACTGAAAAAGGCGTAATATGAATACCTAATCATGCGCAAACAGAAAACTAACAACAATAAGAATAAAAATGAGATTTCTCGATATCTAGGGGTCTACGAGTAGGATTTTAACAGAACACGATTTTACGCATACAATGCATGTGTAGGGGGTAATAAAGTGTATGCTTGTTGTCGGATCCATCACCACGTTTGAGTTTTTCGAAAATATATATAACTGTGCTCGATTCTGTTACTACTATAGCCTGCGCAATACCGAGCGTCAACTACTGCTGTTGCATTTTAATGGCAATTTGTGGTAGAGAAGAGTTCTTTGTCATGGTCATGTGATTTATAACAACAGTTCGAAAGCAGCGACACGGGCAGAGGAGCTGCGACTAAAATGACAATAATGTTGGTGACTATAAGCGGCAGATAAATCGCAATGTCTCTCTGCGTTTGTGTTAGAGTCTTTTGAAAAGTGCGTAACCCATGTTTGCTTTATAGTCCCCTAATACTCTGCTAACGATTTATAGTTTTAGCATACGAGTGACTGTTTGTTTTTCTAAGGTTTTGTTGCGTTCGTCGTTTTGTTTGTTTTGTTGTCAATAAGAAAAGTTTTTCTTCTTAAGGTTTTAAATTTTAAACAAACTCGGCTCTTTTCATTCACAATTCATGCTTTAAATGCTATTGCGTGCTAGTGTATGCAGAAGAAAATCTCTTACATTCCCTTCTTACTCCTTTTCAGCATATGCATAAGTAACTTTCAAAGGTCTAGGTCTTGGTTTATTCTTGTATTCCTAACTTACTTTGCTTGTCTCTGTTTTGACTGTCTGTTTGAGTTTGTTATGGGTTTCTTGTTTTCTTTTCTTCTAAATGCATTTGTGTGTGTGAGTCTGTTCTGTTTTCGGTTTCGCTAAATGATTTTTTGTTCGTTCAATGGAACACTGATTATGCTTAATGCAGAGATGGGCTTAAGACTTTTTCTACTCCATGTTCTTCGACTTTTCTTTTATCATATGTAACTTTTGTTTAAAACAAAGTTTTCTGTTACTCGCAAGTTTTACGCGACTACTATATAAAGGAAATTAATAGAAACAAGAAAGCATTCGGGCTTCAAGAATTTTAAAGAATTAATGATGACGGCAGAACGCCGTTTGTTATCAATAAAGGCAAAGGATAATTAAGTTTTACGAACTTACTCCAATTTATAAGGTCGCCGTTCTTTCTAGTTAGGCTAGCTTTCAAAAAAAAAAACGAGTTCCTAACCTTAGATATTGGTGCCTATCCTACTTTTAGTCGTAGGATTGCCATCATAAGCTTAAGATTAACTATTCTGATGGGTAGATTAAGTTATTCCCAATCCCTTAGCTATAAAGTACATTGTCTTACGAGCCATATTGAGCTGCTAATAGCTAAATAAATAAATTGATTTCTTCGGTCTAAACGAATCGCAATAATAACATCGATAATAGTAATATTAGCAAGACTCTTTTTTCATTATCACCATTGAACTACTCTAGCATTTACGGTGCGGGTGACAGCTTTCAATTAAATTCCCTTGTCTTACAGCTAGCCAGTCCAAGAAAAGATATGTGACTTCAGATAAACTTGCTTTGAGAAGACAGTGATACAAATTTTTGATTTTGCAAACAATTAAAATCCTCCCGTCCCGGACATAGCATGCTTGGGAGAGTATTTTACATTGTGCACTTTTTTACTCAATTTCCCACAGGTCATGCCAAGTAAATATCTTTCGTATATATATATATATATTTATTTGTATCAGTATATGATGCCTGTTCACGCCAGCATGGAGTGAGTGGACGTGAAGCAAATCGATTTTGGCTGAGTACCGTTCTATTTCTGCGAAGTGTTTGTTGTTATACATGATTTATTCTCGCATTTGGAACAACCAAACAAACATATTAAAGTACATATATTCATGATGAGCATAATAAACTGATGCCCTTTAGCCCTGTTCGTTTACTTAACTGTGCACGCTTTTTGTCGTAAAAAATGAGACAGAAAGGCGAGTGTTGACACATTTAGTTCTAACTTTGAATAAATTCTTAGTGCGCTGATATTTACATGCGTAGCATTCAACTTGTTACAGGTATTTCCCCTGGACTTAATTGAATGTATTCAATACACGAATGTGTTCGCTCCGCATATTCAACAACATTTTTTTTTTTTTTTTTTGCAAGCCTAACATGAGGGTTGGAGGGGTCGAAAACCAAAGATTCGCCGCTAAGCGCACATATAGCTTAAAAATCTTCTTCCTTCTCTTACATGAAAGAAAAATTCCGCAATTTATTTATTCAATTTTAAAAATTAAAAATAACGAAACTTAAACTTAGTTTTATTATATTCCTAAGTTATGATATGGGGTGAAATGTTTGCGGTGAAAGTATACGATTCCTTTGGAATGACATTGAAGAACTCTTGCGATCTCGTAAGGTTAACTGCAGCGATGCTCTGCCTCAAAATTTATTACTGACAAAATGGTTACTTCAAAAAAATATCTAATCGATAATGGTTAAAACTGCATTCTAATCTATTATCCGATTGATTCGTCTTTAACTTTCTTAGCACTGCTTGTTTGTTCGGTAGTACATCTTGTTTGTAGTCTGTACCTTACATCTATATCGCTGTCTTATGCTATTTGTATCGGTACCTTCTTTAAATAACTTTTAAATCGTAAACGTAATGACGAGAGCGAATTTTTGTGAAAATTATCTGCATCGGTAGCTCAAGTAAATGCCATTTTCTTAGTAATCATCATAAAGAGTATCATTTAAATTAATAATTTTCCACACGGTTTCGTGTGCGCTTTTAACATTTGTCCGCATGTCTGCAAATTTTAAGCGCAACATAAACGAACATTCATCACCCACTGCAGTAATACTCACCATTGACATCTTTAGCTTGATTTCTGGCGAAAAATGAAAAAATTGAAGAAAACGTAAAAATACAAATATAAAAAATGAAGACGCTCCCACTTAACGTGTTGTATATATGCTTATGGTTATGTACTACATTATATGCGCTCACGGTTACACATTCACATACATAAAAGGCTATAAAGCAAAAATTTTGCAATTTTCCATTGAGTTGAAGCAGCGATTTTAAGCCATTCTAAAACGTATTAAAAATATTTTATTTTCTTTCTTTATTACCTTATTACAATAACATTTCAGCCTTCAACTATCGCATCGACTTCTTCTGCTGCTGCAAATACACCAAATGTTACTTATGCATCAGCGATCAACAATAGTACAAATGATGAGATTTCGCACGAATCATTAGCCGCAAAGCGACCCAAATTAGATGCTGCCTCTCATATTGATGACGACACCTTTGATGTTGCTGGCACTTCAGAGACCTCAAGCACTTCTTTTGTTGGCAACTCGGCCGTAAGTGAGGCTCTCGTGCCCGGTGCTACCGCTATTTTGCCAAACGATGATTCCGAAAATGAAACTTTAATTGTCGACTGTGAAAGTCCTATGCAGCAGCCGGGCAACGAATCTCCAAGTAAGTACTTTAAACACATTCATACACACATATATATACACACACACGTTAATACATATATGCTCTCCTTACTGGCAATTGTTACTTGCAATTTAAAAAGTCTAACAGGACTGAGTGTGGACTGAACTTTTGCTTCACATGCATATATCGAATAAGCGCTTTATTTACAATACATTGACATACTGTAAGTACATAATGAATTGAGTGCTATTGCGAAAATTTAGTCTTACTTGGCTGGCGATGGTCAGTGAGACATTATAATTATATCATAACCGTTAAAATGCAAAAAAATAATAAAATGAATTATATTCAATTTCTGTCATCATCGATGACGAAAGTGATCTCATTTACTAAATTCAAAACAGCAGCTCTTAAACAACTTTACCGCCATCTTTCTTGTTCATAGTCTTAGGGAAACATATATTAAGAGAAAGGAATGGAGTGGAACTCTTTAATAATGTCGTAAAAGTATTTGGGGACCGGTTGAGATAGAACATAAAAGAAGAGGCATGATTCGTATGCGGAACAACTGCGGAGAACCACTGGCGTATTAAGTCGCGTGTATAAGGGCATAGGAAGCCTGTATGTATACAACACCCAAAGGACTTTATTATACCATATACCTTTCGTCTCTACATAATATTCGAATTACTACGCTCGTCTGTGCGTCTGTGCCTTTTGTATTCCTGCACCCAATCTATAGGTCGTAATTTTCGAGATATTTTGAGAACATTTGGTATCCAACTCCCAAAGATGGATGCTATCAAAATGGCTTCAATTGAGCGAGTTTTTCAACTACTTATGTCTTTTGGAAAAATTGTAATATGAAGGACTGTATTCTACTTGTTCTTTTTTGAAGGATTGCCGCTTGCGTCAACACAGCCGGCCTTATTTAGTATGAAGAAGCTATTGGCAGGATATCGTATTTGTTTATCTCGATTTTAAAAATTGTGCAGTTACTTTCCGAAAATATGTTCGATTACTTTTTCAACACCCCAATACAAGGAGTTCATCATTTAGGCACTTTAGTCACGGTTTCGTTTTGGTTAGTTTTACTGGTTACTACGCTGTTTGATAACTGCATTTATTTTTATATATCAAAGAGCCATTTAAGAATTGATTACTTAATTGTTGCAACACAATCACCGACATGAGATTAACAACAGGAGTAACAACAACAGTAACGACCACCTCTATTAGTTACATATATTGTTATTGCGGTTGCTATTACATGGATTAGAAGCTTTGCGACTACAAATACAACAAACGTGGGATGGAGCGTTTTTCTAATTCCCCCAAAAGCTATAAAAGAACGTATAAAACGAGAAAAAAAAAAAGAAAAAAAAAAGGTAAACACACAAAAACACACACACACACACACACACACACACAATAACTACGAAATAGTAAAATAACATTGACAATTAACATGCTACACGACAAAAATATCAACAACAACAACAACAACAGCAACAACAGTAACAATGAAAGGAATAGCAATAGTAATAGCAATGGCAATAACAGCAACAAGTAAAAATGATGGTGGCCAAGAGCTACAACAAGTGCGATGTGATCTTTTGGGAGACCAATTGCTTGCCTTTGTTGCTATGGTACTTTTTTTCATCGTTGTTGTTATTGTTGTTGCAAATCAAGCAAATCAACAAGTGAATTAGATGTCCTGTTTTCTAATTGGAAAGTTTTCCTATCAATTCGCAATTGTTTATTCAATTTGCTGGATGGTTGGCTGCTTGCCTTCTTGCTTACTTTGTTGACTCTGGTTAGGTTTTGTTTGATCAACATCACGTCTCAAAATGACAAACAATTACATGTTACGACAAAAACGACAATAAAAACAACAACAAACACCACCAGTGTTTGGTTATGTTGTTGTCATTTGTATTGTGATGTTTTTTATTTTCTTTCCTTTATGTCTTTCTTTCTCTTACGTTATCAGTTGTGCTCCAAATTTTTAAGACTTTTTTTTTTTTTTTCAAAAAAAAAAAGAAGCAACATTTGTGTCATGAAAGTAATTTCTGTAAATTAAAGTTATTTTTATTATATTATATATGTTCGTAAATACATTTTTGGATCATAGTTACTTATTGTACTCCTGCTGGTTATGTTAACTTAGAAGTATTTGTTGAAAAGCTGTTCACAAAAATAAATACATGCCTACCGAATGTCAGCGTTAATGAGTGCTGATGTCAAGTGTTTGCTATACTTCAAGCTTCGCTTAAGCTGAAGTTCATTACAAACTTCATAGATAAGCGACCAAAGTATATCGTTGTCGGTAGTTTCGATACTTCATTTGAAAATCAATGTGTGCGTTCAAATGCGATCATTGAACTAAAGCTCGGATAGATGACTAAAGTGCCTTAATTTTGTACAGAAAATCGAAAATTTGCGAAACTGAATAAATGTTGCAGTTGAGTGATAAGCTGAACGGGCATAGAATTTATCGATTATGTCATGAATGTGGTAGCAACCACGACTCCTGCATATCCAAGATTTTCTTCTGGTTTTTTTTGTGTATGAGCAGCCACTCCTATGTACCGGTACGATGGTGGTCAGGATGGCTCATTGGCAGAGAGGGGTGAAAGGAGGGATTAACATTCGTGTACGAAAATATCAAGCACGGTGGTAAAGAGTACTCTGGACAGATTGTTTCAAAGTCGGACACTTTGCTTAAAGAACAGGAAGTCGTTGAGCAAGCCTTGTATTCCTGTTGACGGTCTTAATTGGTAGACAAATCTCCTTTATCTCTGTGGAACGGTTGCTCCGGATGTACCTTTATACAAGCACCACCTAATCCACTTTACATCGGTGCTCGACGGTATCAAGAGTTTTCAATACTCTTCTGTCAACCGTGAGCACCCGAACCATTCACTGTATGCAGCCTTTCGAGTCTGCAAGTTATGAAGCTGTGAAAGCTCCTGCTCAAAAAAATTCTCCGTGAACTGATTCAGGCTTTCAAATAAATCAATACATGAGATTTTAGGCAATGAGTTGAACATAAATTATTTGCAAGATATTTGTCACATTTTGTTAAATTCAAACTAAAAGCGTTTTCGAATGAAATTTTTGAGGCAAAGGAACAACATATTTTCCCATTTACGTTTAAATGATTACAACACATTAAGGAAATATCAGCACGTGCCAGACTAAATATAATAGAATGAAAGATAAGTAAATAAAAGCTACTATTAAAATAACAGCTTTATTATTATATAATAACCGTACTAATCACATAATCATTATTTAATAACAGCAGCAAAAAACTAAAGGAAAAGAAAAAACTGTAACAAGTTGTTATGTTATGCATTAAGGCGAAGAGAGTACACAAAGCTGGCAAGTGATATTCAACGCTCGACAGCATGCTCTATAAAGTCATGTTAAGTGTATAACAACAAGAGAGAGAAGTCTAGGAGAAATACAATGACATAAAAAAAAAAAAAAAAAAAAAGAAGAAATATAAACGCACGTAAAACCTTTTAATTTGAATTCTCTGCACGCAATTTTATTTTGTAGTCACAAATTAAGAAAAGCAAAAAAGAAAACTACTATAAATACGGAGAACAGGTTGACCCAATCATACAAAAAGACGTTTTATGTGTTTTTTATGCAAGTAATAACGTGAGAACGAAGCTTAATCAATGTGCCCAAATCATTTAGAATTATTAGCTGACTAAGTACACATATATTTGTGTGTGTGTGCCATTATCCCAAATGCAGTAATAAAAATATTTGCTAATAATTTCAAGATGAGGGTGGACTAGAGCCGCTTATCACCGGCAACTAAAAAGCTTATCGTGAAAATTTGACAACATCAACGGGAAAATCGCTTGATGGCGCGCGATTAAAAGATAATCTTCTGAATACAAACCATCGTTGAAAATAGTCATCGTATAGCTCAGAAACTCTTGGATTACTTTCAACGAAGCCATCTGTAGGCGTAAAATTCCAAAGATTACTTGCCCTAAGGCGAGCTAAAGCGAAACTTTTTAGTTTATCTTTTACTCATCCGAACGAAACTCATAATGCGTACAGGTACTGATCTGGGATTGACTGCGATCTGCCCCATCTTGCGTATCGTTCAAATATTTATCTAAATAAATGAAAACTTTCTCGAAGCGGGTGAATGACTTTCAATTTTGAATTAATTGTGCATGAATCTGCGAAAGTTTCACAATTTCATGTCCATCGCTATTACTACTAGCTTTGTTGGTATGTTGTTGGCATGTTTTTTGTTGCATCTAAACACCCAAAAAGACAAGATAAACTATGTAACCATCTTATCGACAGCCGCTAGAGTACACAATAGTGGAATACAGGCTTAATAGTAAAGCTACGTTTCGATCATTTTTATTTCAAGTTAATCTTGAAAATTGAAAATTATTCACTTACATGCAAAGTTATTCAATTATTTGATGTGCATTGCTAGAGGAACTCCAAGCAATTGAATCTAAATTTAAACTTGAATCGATAACGCAGACTTAGTTTGAAGAAGGAGGTGATGTGCATTCATGCGTGATTACACTTTTAACACTAATCTGGACGATGGTCTTCATAGACATCGAAAGTAAAAACTAACTCCAGTCGTTACAAGTTAAGAACGAATATAATCCTGACTTGTCCGCTTAGGCGCCAAAAATAGAAGAAAGAAAAAAAAAAAAGAGATACAACTAAGAGATGGCGAGTATTCAAGTTTCGTGCTTATAACTAACTTAACTGCTTTATATCATTAAAAGTTTTCAATGAAATTGCAATTAATTTATTCAATATAGAAAATATTGCTCAAGATTGTTGTTGTTTCTTTAAAACAAATTGACTTGAAAAAAATCAAAATTCACAATTCACAAAAAGTAGTTATGAAAATAAGATAAAAGAAAGAAAAAAAAAGAGTGCTGTGTTCGTGGTTCACGCGATCTCCCAAAAATTGCATAAATTTCGCATGACTTTACTGCCAGCGAAACAATTTTTTATTTCGTTACTCCTAGTGG